ATTAATAAAACCTGTTATCCCAAAGGCACACAGCACTAACATGAGAGTGGCAAGTGATGAAAAGGAAAAAAAAAAAAAAGGGGGGGCCTCAGTAAACTGTTTTACAGCTATTATTCTTCAAAGAACCTCATTTCCAGGTTAGCCAACAGATCCTCTGAAAGCTTCGAGTCACCCTCTTCACTCACACCAGTGGGCTCATGCTATATTTGAAAAGTTTAACACAATAGTAATATGTCATAATTTACTTTTTTTTCCACTGTATTAATTCTAGGCAATGTTTCTCCTCACAATTACCTCCTCATGGATGCCAAAGGTGCAAGTCAACACAGGCATTACTCATAGTTTTTAATAAAATATAAACTGACAACTTACTCTGTGTAGTATATAATCTTTCTATGATTTTTTGTTATTACTAGCTATTCTTACACCCTTTAGTTGCTACAGTATATGCACATGCAGCACTGCATCTGACATACATTTCCATGCATTCCTGAACTTCTAACTGCTCCACCCTGACTTTTAGACATCACAGTCTATGGAGACAAGCAGCCTTTTCGTTGCTTGAAACTGCATGAGGAGAAAAGTCTCCCTTGCCTACATGTAAACCCCCATTTCCTCTCCAGTTTCTTCAGCATCTCTTCCCAGATAATCTCATGTTTTCTCTAGAGTGCCCCACACAACATCAATCACTAAGCAGCCTCAAGTATTACAGCTAACCTAAAAAACACAAGTAAGCCCCGACCTGAAAACTGCTTCTTTACCAAATACGTTAAGTGCTACGTATCCCAAACCTGACAGACCTTCAAAAGCTCCATGACCCCACAGGACCCCCCAGAGAAAGGTGTAGCAATACACAGTAAGATAACTTAGGCTGTGTCCTACAATAAGGCTACTAGAAAGTATTTTAATTTCCTCTACTTTTCAAAATTACTGCAAATTCCAAGGTAAAACAAAATTAACCCAGAATATGAAAAAAAAAAAAAATCATACCTAGCATCCTCTCAACAAGGTAGCAATCTGAAACTTGGTCACTGATTCTCTCATTCCTTCTCCATCTCCAGATCACTGGGTTTTTTTGTGTTACGGCATTATGCATACATTACTTTGCAATATATTTGCAAGAAGCCTCTGAAAGCACCTGTTTCACAGCACATAAAACCCCAGCTTCTTCCAGGGAAGTATGGAAAAAGCCTGTAGCACTTGCCCAAACGCCCACTGAAATTTATTTTGCAACAATAAAAATGGAAAGATTTTACATTTTCCTTACTACAGAAGCGATTTTCAAAGTTAAGATTTCTTAGCATAAATAAAATGAGTAAACTAAGTAAATTACATCTTGGATGTTTATATTAAATATAAATGGCTTGTACTACATAACACAAAGAGTAAGCGTTCAGTATTTCGTTATAAAATTTAAGATACACAGGCCTTGTACATATGGCTTCATTATCATCTTACACAGTGTGTTCTCAGTCATGCCCATCACCACAAATAGCACCTCTACAGAAAAGATGCAGCCAAATGGTTTCAGTCAAGTACAGCATACTCCATTAGAGAGTACACATTTTAATTAACAGCTCTAATACCAGTTACAGTGTATAGTACTTTTACTGATCTACCGTGTTGTAACTATACAAGATGAGAAGGAAGAGACTAAATCATACAGCCCTCACCACAGGACAGCCCCCAGTACAGGTTTACTTCAAGAACAGCTGGAAGATTTGGCTGGTAATACATAATTCAACATTTTAATTAAAAAGTGGGCAATATATTCCAACAAGAAGTCAGACTTCTGACTGCACAAAACAATCACATTTAAGTACCCTTTTGAAATTAAAAATGTCTTAGGGAGGTAGATACCCATTGAAACAAACTATCTGCAAGCAAGGTATTTTTGTATCAGTTCTTTCCCAGGTTTGACAGACATCATCCCCTCTCCGGGAAGGTCTCATGTTACAAAACTTACTTGAAACATTTTAAAACCTTAGTTCATGAGGATGGGACACTCACATTTAGAACACTGACAGTCCAGCCTCTCCATTGTAATAGAATACTAGGAAAAGCCCTAGATCAGACTGAGCTATCATTCATCCTAAAAATACATGCAACTATTACAAGAATCCCAGCACCAAATCACTTCAGGCAGTGAAGAAGCTCAACTACACAATCATACACACAGCTTTCCAACCAGCTGGAAAGTTACCAAAGACAGGAGCTGTCAAGATACATGGTGTAATATGGGAGAAGACAGGATAGATCCTTAAAGTCTCTGGGTTCTGCACTCTCTAACAACCCCCCCAACTACAACATACACATACACTCCTGAAAAAAAAAAAAACAAAACCAAAAAAAAACCAGTCTTGAGAGGAATTCTTCCTAGAACACAGAAATTCAGAATGAGTCACAACGTTAACTTACATTTACTTTGGTAACACAGTTCTTGGTAGCTAAAGCAAGCAGCAAAACAAGAGTGTGAAAAAAATTTCTGATGATAGATGAATTTGAAGCAATTTGAAGAAACTGAATTTGAAGAAATTTAGCACAAAGTATTTCTACGAAAACATCTGAAAGCATCATGGAGACAACATTTGAAGCTGACTTGGATTAAAAGGTGTATGTATTAGAAACTGGTCACCAGCTGTGAACACAGTTCAAAAAACTGAAGAAAGTGTTAGGAAGCTAACACAGAATAAAGCTACAGCTGATCTCATTTTAGCTTCTTAGTACAAGTTTAAAAAAACATTTCTGAAAGAAGAAAAAAATATGTGAAATGGACACACAGTTGATACGAAGCTGGACAAGACAGCTGAACAACATTAATGAAGTATTTACAAACCAAGAAAGTAATAAAGGAAAAAGTAGCTTTGTGCAAGAACTTTGGAATTACACCAATATTCAGGGAAGTATTTAGCCAAGAGGGGAATGAGGATAAATCTAAAAGGTAGGAGAAATACCATATAGTTTGCTCACCAACTCTGCAGGTCAGCAGGACTGCAAAGTCAGCTAATGCAATTTGGGAATGACTCCAAGGTAGGACATATTGCTTTTTCAATAGACCTTGGGCCCAACTACAGTAATTCTTCTGTGAACTAGATTAGCTGAAAGACAAACTGGCAGATCTATAGAACAGAGTGACTGCAGGAAAAGACTAATTAAACTTTACCACATATGCCCTCTCAACCACACAGATAGAATCTCTGCAAGTGTTTCCACACCATTTAGAAAAAAACACCTTTTTAATTTTATATATTAAGAGATGTTTAAGAATCCAGAGAAACCAGATTAGAAAAAGGAAACAGCTTCCTAAAAATGAAGTGCAACACATATGGAAAAAAAAAGCACTGAAAACAGCACTCATCCTAAGAGAATAAGTCAAATTTCTGGCAGCAGCTGTGTTAAACAAGGGACAGAAAGATTTAACTCCCCATTTACGCATTTGGACTGGCAGATACCTTGGAAATAAATCCATACACTCTGTAAGATCACTTGATTAAGCTGGGAGAGGAGAAAGTACCTTAAATGCAGGAATCACAGAGCTGACACAACAGATGCATCCAAAGTAGGAATATTCTTTGCTTGCAAACATATTATAGTACAGAACATTGTTATGCAGAGTATTACATAGTAAAAACTGTACTGTATTTTTAGATGTTCCTAGTGTGAGGACAGCCTCTGAACTCTGCAGGTAAACAGCTCCTTCCAGAAGTAAATTATGACTCTTAACTGCAAAAAACTCCTGAGCTTGCATCAATTTCTGTAACCTTTTGTGTTCTACAATTTTAAGTTTCTGAAAGAAGAGACAACCTGTACCTTGTAGATTTATTTTTCCCCCCCCCCCAATAGGTCTTCATATTCTTACACTAATATCTAGGGAAATGTAGAATGACAAATTTGAAATAAAATTATTTTTTCTTTTTTTTTTCCCAGAAAATCTCAACATGCAATAAAAGAAAGTGTTAATGGTATCAATTTAAAGTTGACGTTATACCCCAATTGCAGTTATATTTCTATTAAAAAAGAATTTTAATTATCCAACGTCTGTGCTACAGATCAGATTTCAGCAACACACAAAACTACACAGCTGCATTGCTTTCATTTAGTTACTCCAAAGCAGACAGAGCAATTCCAGCAGACAGTTTTGATTGTGTATACATCAACATTTCTGCACAACTGAGAGCCACAAAGACTAAAGCACAAGATGGATATTCAGTACATAAACAGGAATTTTTTAATGAAATTCAAATTAATCCTATGCACTTCTTCAGAATTCTGTTCCAGGTCAGCACTTGGTGTGAGTTTATAGCAATCAAAAAAAAAAAAGACAGTAAATGGCACATTACAGTCTAACAGGGAATGAGTCCCTTTAGCATTTCCACAGTATCTACCTACATGAAAACAGTTAAAAATTGAGGTGATTTAAATATAAGAATTATCTTTGCTGACTTCCAGCCACTAGAGAAGAACAACTGTCCTTTTCTGGAGTAACAACTAACATTTAAAGCTTTGTCGTTGGTAGCATCTATTCTATCATCACATGCCCACTATGTTACACGTTGTGTACTTTATGCATTGATTACACAAAAGAAATCTCTTAATATGTTTTCAGTGAGTATTAAGAACAAATCACATCTTGAGTGTAACTAAACTGGTCACAATTACGTTGCTTGCTTAAATGCAGTTTTTCGTTACTTGTACAAATAGTTTAAAATTCTGCTATCAAAAAAAAAATTATCTTAAAACAGTAGGCTTAGGTTACATTTTGTCCCAGTTACCTAGCTGACTCATTCAGACAGTCCCACCAGTGGGTGACTCATACTAAAAAGACTTTATCATTTCTTGTACATGTGTATTGTTTAATCCTCATCCCAAGTATAAATTTGCAACACAGTAGTAACGCTGCAGGTACAGAAGCAACGCTTCCTATCGGCCACATGAAAAGATTAACACTCTACCACAGTGGATGCTGGTGTATTTATTTAGAAGGCTTCTCACGTAGCATTTCAGTCTACAGGAGGTAGATGTTTGTCTATGAACTGTTTCACATCCATCATTTCCTGTTTAAAGATAAAAGTATGTTTTAGTTGAAGTTCCCTACTAACAGACATTCAGCTACACTAAACCATGTTTCAATATTTCAGTTAAAATGAGCAGCTGAGCTATAAATATTAATTAGTTACCTGTTAAAAATCAGACCACTTTGCAAACAACAAGGCTGATAACTTCAAGACACTATGAAGAGGCTAAAATACAAGAAAGACCCAAGACTGCTTTTTCTCCCTCTCTCTCCCGGAAATTAAGCATGCAGTCTATATATTAATTCTCAAGTGACATGAATAGCCCCAGGCTGAGTACAGACAGGATTTGAATGTAGCTAAGTCTGTAGTATCATGTATAACTTTTCCAAGTTAGCATCAGTGTGAAAAGCCAGCAGCTGCTCCTCCTCCTAACCATTCATTTTTAACCCTCCTGATGCTTCCTTCCTTAAGGAAAAGCAATACAGCAAACCGGACTGGGAAACAAACCCTCATTAAAAAGAAAATCTTTTATTTTTAATAAATCAATGTTGTAAGAAAGGGTACATTATTAATATTAACATATTTGTGTGACAACTCAATGCTATTACTGCCTACACTGTCTAAATGTCACAAAGGTTGTCTGAAGGTGCGGTTCCCACAAGATGCAGCAATCCAAATTAGCAAAGTAACTGCTGCTGACAAATGGCAGATCTGTTCCTTGCCTACTCTTCTCTTCCTCACTCCTATCACTTCTTGGTGTTAGTTGTGATGCTTCAGCTCACTATAGCTGCAAAAACTGAAGCCAGCGGTTTTGCCATTTTAGCAAGAATGGTTCAAACAAGTTTCTGATTAGCTCCAGAGCTGGCACAAGGAGGACAGGACCATAAGGTCACGAGTAGAGGGAACCAGTCCACCCTCTTCTGGCAGGAACAAGCCCCATTACATCAGCACAGCTGCCTGCCGAGCCAGAATCATAAATATAGGTTCTGAGGCTGACACTTTGATAGCATCAACCCTCACTCATTATTACTTCACTGTCTCCATCTCTAGAACGAAAAAGATTCTTCTCTCCAAAATACCAAGTTGGCTTTATGCTGTGAGAATCTGCCTTCTAATTCAGTGGGATTTTTTTAGTAAGCAATTAACAAAAACTAGGGGGAAAAAAAGAGTATTTTATGGATCAACTAGCCTAGACCTAAAAATACAATCTTATGAGGAAGATCCCACTCATCATAAGCTTTTACCTTGGATACTTTTTCAGCCAGGCACTCAGTCACTCAGTAAAATGAGTCAGTAGCATCAAGCACTTGTTATTAATAAATAAATATAACAGTCCAAAATCAAGCAAATAGAACCCCACAGAAAAAAACTCCATCCAATACATATTTGTTTTGAGAGGAAAAAAATTAACCATACTCAGCTACAACATTTTACATTAAGAAAATTACCTCAATACTTGAGCTATGCATCATGCCAGAGTAAGTCCTGAAGGTTACGTTGGCTGGGTTTATCATACTCTTTAGCTTCTCAACAGTAAGAGAACCGAACATCAAAGGAACTAATGGGTCACAGTCCCCATGGCACTGAAGAACAGCAATCTCCTTGTTGACACCACTGATAGGGCCCTGTTAGGTGTGGAATTAGAGGGAAGAGAAGAAAGAAACAGTAAGTGAATAAGTGGAGGTAAGGCTAACAACTTCAAGAGAAAATAATGAACATGGCACAATGAAGAAGTTGAATTCTAAAGGAAAAACAAAACAAAACACATTTTGTCAATTTCTCCACTTGCCAAACTCTAAAACTCCAGAGCCCTATTTTAAAGACTTCTGAGTTATCAAACAGCTATCAATATTCAGTTATAATGATGGCCACTAATGCCTGCACAAAATACAATCTTTGGATATTCTCATTCCCCAAGGGCAAATTAGCTGAGGAAAGAAAGATAAATACCTGAGGAAAAGAAGCCCGTAGAGGAAGCCAACAGCTGAGGGCTACAACACCTGCTAATTTTTGGTGTGTTGTAAGAGCTGTATACAATGATAAAGCACCACCCTGAGATAAACAGACAGAAGTATTAGAACAGTGATTGTAATCTTCCTTTTAATGCTTTTGGTTTCTCCTTTAAGTCTTTTTCTCTTCTCATTTATTCTTCCTTAGAACCAACACTAAACCCAGTATTCCTGTACAACATTTACTTTGCTCCTCACCCCTCCCATGTCCATGTGTCCAAATGAGAAGTAAAAGAGCAGATTTACTTTAACTAACAGCTGGGAACAAAAAATTAAAAAAAAAAGGAAATAAAGCACTATCACTCTTGCCAGTATTATCACTACTTTAATATTTTACTTGCATGCAGATTGATGTACGGACCAACTAACCTATTAAACTGCCTACCACAGGTGTCTTACAAGTATGAAGGGAAGATATTTCTCAAATCCAGACTATCAAATATCTACCAAATTAAAATTAAATAAAGAATACTAGCAAGAATTTCAAGCAAAGCTACATACATGCATGAAAGCTCTAAACAGACTATTAACTTTTAATACCTTTTTTCCACAAGCACGTTCATTTTTCACTGAATAGTTAATTATTTGCATAAAACTGAAGAGCTTAATTTGTCAAGGCAAAGGAAAATTAACACCTTGAAATTTTTGAAGTACCTAACATCAGTTGTTTTCAATTCAAGTGTCTGGATTTTCCATCTTAGGAAAGCCAGATTACATCCCTAGAAAAAGACAGAGTTCTTTCCAACCATACCTTACCTGAGAAAAGCCTCCCAGAATAATTCTGTTGGAAGGAATTCCATTTTTTACTTCTTGGTCTATCAGTGCTTTAACTGCAACACAAATAAACGCCAGCAGTTAAAAACAATGCCATTCTGTCTGCCTAGACAGGGAAAGAGACCTTCTCCCTGGTGTCCACAGAAAGCTAGCAAGAGGAAAATCTAGTCAGCTATATATTACAACGTATCAGATCAGAAATTCCAGCCCCTGGTACCATTTCCACAGATAATGAATGCAAGTAAGTCTTGCAAATGCCCCACTGCGAGAAGACGTAACCTCTTCTCACTCTTCAGCAGCACAAGCGGATGCTCATACAGCTGTAACTGACTGTGCTACCCAGAAGCTCTTAAAAAACCAAACAAACACACCACCACCAAAAACAACCCACACCCCACTGGTTCCCATCTACCATTTGTAGAATTCATACTTCAGAGTCTGAAGTTTTTATACTGGTGAATTACTCTGCTTACTCATGAAATGTGAAAAAAAACCAACCAACCAAACCCAAAGCAACAAACAAAGCATATAGCTAAAATTTGATCAGCAATAATACATTAAGGACACATCATTTTCCCCCATTTTAACTTTGTAAGGTCTGTTTCAGACTGATAATTCATTTTTAAGAATCCACAGAAGCACTTCTAAGGCATAAAGAAGTATTCTGAAGCATACCATTCTCTGCTGCCTGCTTGATCCCAGCTTCATCCTCTTGTGAATCTGGAGAAAGTCCAATGATATCAAACCTTACAAAAATATCAATAAGAGCATTACTCATCAGAGCATCCACTCCACTTCCTTAAAATATAAGTAATAAAATTGGGATATTTTCCAGATAAAAATGTTAGCTGACATATTATTTAGTACCAAGCACTTGAAGATTACAGGAAATGGTGGACAGATCTGTGAATGTGGCTAAAAGGCCAGGTCTAGTCAACAAAGCTTTTCTGAGTTTTGCTATCTTCTGTAATTTACTGCAGATTAAGCCACTCAGTTTTGATATTTGCCCCAAAAATTTTTTAGGAATTTCAGTTCATCAGTTGCATATACAAAACTAAAATACCGTTCGAAAAAATATAGGAAAAACAAGAACAAGTTACCTAGGGGAAAAAAGCAATAAATCCTGAGGAGGTGTGGTTTAAGACTGTTGAAATCTACCATATTTTTATTGTTTTCCATTCAGAAGGGATGTTCTAAAGACCAGTTTCTAGATATTCTACTGATCGACCAATAATACTGACAAGTAGCAATCATATTTCCACTCCAAGTCACTACTAATACTGACTATAAATTCCTACAGAATACCAGCTATAGAGTATAACTATATATTGTAAAATAAAGTGGGGTTTGGATTTTAGACATGTAGCTTAGTCCTGTGGAGTAAGCATTATCACAGATACACAAGGATAATCAGTGTACTCATGAGAGCCCTTTTATAAGAATAGAATTAAAGCAAAAAGGTTTTTATACTTACATGTGTTTAAAACCAGTCATTCAGATTGCTCTTGGGTTTTAATTAAGGACAATGGGTTCAAATCCCTGGACACCTTTTGATTAGCATCATCTGCAATTGAACAAGTACTTACCATGACGGCATAGCCATGTTCATGTTCAAGGAAACAGGCATAACTGGCCTAGGAATGAGGTTGAACACCACAGACATAAGACACATACTGAAATTTCATAATCCAGATGCAGTTATGTCACTCAATAAAATATCCCAAATTCTGTCTTCCTTTCAAACTGTAATTAACTACTTTGTAGCATCTCTTCAAGAAATCTCTGTTGAAACCTGCCAAATCGTTTTAATATTCAGGGTTGAATTTCCACTCCATACAGAGAGCAAGCAAAAGATGAATGGGCTGCCTTACATAAACGTGAGTGAATCTACATATTTTTATGTACAGATACATCTCACTTTGTTATTTCCAAGTAACAGTTAGTTATCACAGCTCCATACACACGCTCAGCAGATGAAGGCATCTTGCACAGCAGCATTAGTAAATCCACGGAAGTGGCCAAAAGCAGTGGAGAAGTGGACATGAGTCTGGACACAGGTGCTTCTCTCCACAGCTCAACTTTGACCATGCCACAAATCAAATCTGGCTACAATTTTAATCTACTGAAACCAAGAAACATATGTTCTGCAGGGGAAGGCTGAAAGAAGCCAAATGGCACACGAATAGAACAGTAGATATTGCTAAGCTCTTTTTGAACAGCTCAGCAAAGCATGGCCATGGGGTAAAATAGATAAATAAATCACAGCTCAGCAATTGGTAAGACACCAAAACGTTGCTTACTTATCTCCCTATCAGCCCTGCTCCACATCTCCCAAGATTACTGGAGCAAAAGACCATCTGAGTTTTGCAGTAAAATAAATTCAGATCATACTTAGTTTATCTGTCATTAAGTTAATGCTAGATACCTCTTAATGCATTATTTACTGACTCCTGACCCTACTCAGAAGAATTTCACCTCTCTTATTGCACAAAACCAGCTCAAATTCCATTATTTGCTGAAAATATCAATATCCTGTCAGTCTTCGAAACCTGCTGCATGTAACGTGAAATTTCATCTACTACACGCACACCTGAGCTTAAGAGGTATATGTACCTAATACAAAGTATATTTAATGGTCAGTAAAATATTAAAAATTGTTCCCTGCTAAGACGATTTTTAACAACCAACTAACCACCCAATCTGGTGAAAACATGAAGTCAAATCAATCTAACTTTGCACATAAAGCTTTCCAAATATGTTTTCAGGCTGGATTAGGAACAAAAGCAAAATATAGGGTTTTGCCATGAAGTAAATCACACAGCTGTTCCTAAAAATAACACAATACTTGATACATTATTTACATACAACATGAGAGTGTGTTTGTATATAAAAATTAAAAGCAGAGACATCCAAATGCCATCTGACATTATCATCTGTGCAAGAATCTTAATAACTAAACCCAGAGAAAAATGTATAGCAAGAAAAATTAAACTTACGCGTGTGGGCAAATATATTTCACATGAGGGCTTTTGATACCTGCAAGTGCTTCTGACCATCCATGCCTGTCAACAAAAAATTTATTCAATGGCATTTATGTTTTGGCTTAGATCTTGTTTCTCTCTTTGTGCAACAGCACAGAGCAAGGATGAAACATGCTGCATTAGATCAATATGAACACATTTTGAGAACATTTTTACATCAGCTGTAAGATGCTATCAATAGAGCACTAAACTTAGAAGTTTGTTCTGCCTCTGAGTATTTGTTGCATACACAGTATCTAACTGGTCTGTTATCACTGTGGCAGGGCTGCAGAAATACTGCTTTGGGTCTAAGCAAAGCCCGCTCTGCATCTGTCTGGGGTTATTAACATGGGTCCTACAACATGTGATGAACACAGGTATCCTGCTTCCAGGAAGCTCTAGCCTAGAAGCTGCTTTGTGGCTCCTGTAGAATTAAGGCAGCTTCTTTCACAGCCAGCTTTGTTTTTTGTGAATCTCATTTTCAGATGTTGGAGAGCAGTGAACACCTAAGCTAACTGCACGAGGAGCCAACCTAATCAATCAGATCTGTTAACTCTGGCTCAGCACGAGCTGTCTCAGGTTCAGGCAGTCCTGAGCAACACTCCAGATCACAGGTGGCTTTTTCAACTAAGCACATGCACTGTGAACACAAAGAACAACATGACATCCACAAAGTTATCAAACTTCCTATAAACGAGAAAGCTGAAAAATGCAATTTAAATAAACAGCTCCAGAAGATTCACTCCAAGGCTCATCTAGATATGAACTGAGCTGGACTCAAAGCTGAACCTGAGCAGAACTACTGCCTGTGCCCACACTTGGCTTTCCAGAGTGCTCAAGAGCACCTGTATATTCCCTGATTTTCCTCATTACTTATTATTCCTAACTCAACCACTAAACTAGATACAGCAAAGATGATTCTAAGCAGAAAAAGCCTTTAACAAACTCATCAGTGACACAGCTGAATGCATCAGAGCCGCATCATAAAAGCATATTTGGTGTAGTTTTAATGCTATTATCATGCTGAAATAATGTGTGCTACCTAAAGTTACAAGACATTTCCAATGTGCAGACAGCACAGACATTTGAAACAGCAACTGTGTATCACAGTAGCTGTGTATCTCAGCCCGCTTCCTACCCAAACTTTTCTATATGCTATTAACAAATCATGGGTGATACTACTTGCATAGTATTTGCAATATCACAGAGGGCTGAGTAAGAATCTAAAGGAGAAATATGACCAAGACAAACTAAGAATTTGTGGATGGTTTTAGCCAACTATAAAGATTACTTTGACAAATTTGGAAAACAATGTTCAATACACATTTACACAGCCTGCACAAAATGATCTCCTAGGTTGTACTTTTTGTTCAGATTTTGCAAGCAGGTACCAGTCTTTAAGTGCCATTCATATAGGAACTAAGAAACAAAAAGAACATAGCCTCTATTAGACACCTCTCAGAGTAAGAAAAATATAGCTGGTAAACTGAAGCAAGCAATTTAAAAATGCATATTAAGTAGAATGAGTCAGTTTAAACTGTGGGAAATTATAAAATTGTTAATTTGTTCTCTTCAGACAATTCTTTTTGGGTCCCTACTATTGCTTTTTTTTTTTTTTTTGAATAAATGGCAGTAAGTCAAAGGCAGTTTTAGCTCACCTGATCTGCAGTGGAGGAGAGGAACAACTACAGCTAAATCACCCTATTTCAACTGAGGTCTTACAACATGCCACCCATTCCATTAAGCTCAGTGCGTTTGCAAGCTCGAGACTGTGTGTTAACTCTGTCACAAAAATGGAAATACCACATTGGTCTAAGGAACACAATTTATGTTAAGGAGCAAATCTCTCATGGTTGTTTTCTCCCCCCTTGCCAAAACCAACATCAACCCAATTTGCAAGGACTCAAAAGATTCTGCAATCAGCCGCTGAACGTCCACTCTGTGCCAAGATGAAGGTGCTGCTGCCTCAGCTGCATCCTGACAGCAGAAAGGAAGAGGGATAATCCAAACAAGCTGGTGGTTTGTCAGCACAACAAACCAGAGCAACCATCTCCACTTGTAGCACACTGCCCAGGGCACGGACTTGACTCTTTTTAAGTTACTAAGTGTCCAGGTCACACAACTGACACCCAACTTTCTTTTTTTCTTTAGTTATTCACATAAAAGCTTGTCTTAAACATTGCAAGTTTCAACCCAGAAGCAACATTCAAGTTCTAGGTAACAAAAACAAGAGTTCTTAAAAAAATATTATGTAATTCTGCCCAGAAGGGAGCACAACAGCCAAAGCGTTCATGCTGCTTATTTTCAGTATCTAAGCACCAATTCCTTTAAATTCATCCACCAAAAAAGGCTTCAACACAATCCTAACTTGTTAATTCAACTTATTAATTGTTAACTGAGACAATGAATGGATGCCTACAGCTCAGCACACAAAAGCTTCAAATTGAAACATGACACCACACCTAGAAGGTGTCCCAGAAATTCGCTCCTCTTTCCACTTCTACTCAAATGTGGAAATTACAGGAATAAGGCAAACAGGGCATTTGACAGCTTATTTGAGGGTTTGGGGAGGGGAGGGGGGGCAGAAGACCATATCTCAGATAGACTGCTTTGGAGTTTGTTTAGATATATTAACATCCAGACTTAAGTATGACATACTGAAGAAGAAATCATAAAGTAACTGCTCCTACTAGCAAACAAGCAATTCTCAAGTCTAGGAAAAAACAAACAAACAAACAAACCAACAACACACACCAGAACAACTTTACATTTAGACAAGCACAGGAACAACCAGGAACTGACCCCTCAGGAGAGTGAAAGATTAGAAATCAACAGCTTGTTTTTCCACCAAGTTTGACTCCCAAACAAATGAGGGAAGACATTCAGACAAAATTAGGGAAGTGACTGAAGAGACAAGAAAAAGTTTTCCAGGACTTATGCTGGGAGATTTTAAAGAAACAGTTGTCACCATCATTCCAGCTTACATGAGTTTCATTTGTTGTTAGCTGCTGCATTCAATTAAGGGCAAAATAATAATAACAGAAATCATGAAATTGTTATGGTTGAGAGAAGACCTCAAAGACCATCAAGTCCAACCAATCAACCCAAGACGACTACTACTACTACTAAACCATGTCCTGAAGTGCCACATCCACATATTTTTTTAACCTCTCCAGGGATGGTGACTCTCCCACCTCCCTGGGCAGCATGGTCCAATGCCTCCCTCACCGCTCTGTCAGTAAAGAAATTCTTCCTAATAGCAAACCTACACCTCTCATGTCACCACTTAAGCTGAGGTAACTTTTAACTACTCCTGTCTTTAAAACATGCAGCTTTGTAGTTGAAAGCTGTAATAACTACAAAGCTTGTAAGAGAGCAGGATACTCACCCGGTATCTCCCAGTCCATGAAGAAAATAAAAAAAATGACCAAAAGAAAAAAAAAGCCATAGCGGTGTAAGCTCTGTGAAGAATAAACGCCCCGAAGCCACGTTCTTAGAGACGCCCACCGCGGATCTGACGGAGGCACAGGGCGCGGAGCAGGACGCAACTTTCCCGAAAGAAGCCCCGCTTCCCCAGCCCGGCCTCCC